GTGAAGTCCGAGCTGCAAAAGAGACACACGTGCACAGACCTGGGTGAACTGACAAGCTATCTTGGCTTGCGGATCACCCGGGACAGAGCACGCCGCACCATTACCCTGACTCAGTCACACATGGTGCAGCAGGTCCTTCAGCGCTTCGGCTTCACGTACTCCTCGCCTCAGTCCACTCCTCTGCCTACGGGACACTCGCTCTCAGCTCTGCCTTCGGATGAGTTCGTAGAGTCGAGTGGTCCGTATCCAGAGCTTGTGGGCTGCCTCATGTACCTGATGACCTGCACTCGACCTGACCTCGCATACCCTCTCAGCATCTTAACACGCTATGTCGCTCCCGGCCGTCACCGGAAGGAGCACATGGATGCAGCTAAGAGGGTGTTGCGCTACTTGTGCAGTACGTCGGGCATGGGGCTAGTGCTTGGAGGGCGTGAGCGGCCTGTGCTCACTGGGCACTCAGACGCTTCTTGGGTTGACGACCAGGCTACTCAGAGGTCGTCTCAGGGTTACACCTTCAGTCTTGGCTCTGGCTCTGTCTCTTGGCGCTCTACTCGCTCTTCTTCGGTTCTCAGCTCCAGCTGTGAGGCTGAGATCTACGCCACGGCCGTGGCTGCCCAGGAGCTTCGCTGGCTCACCTACCTGCTGACTGACCTTGGAGAGCGGCCTCGTTCTCCTCCAGTGCTGTACGTCGACAACAAGGCAACCATTGCCTTGTGTCAGGAGCACAGACTGGAGCACAGGACGAAGCACATTGCTCTGCGCTACTTCCTTGCTCGAGAGCTGCAGCAGCGTGGTCAGCTTCGCCTGCGTTTCGTGGCCACTGAGGCCAACACTGCTGATGTGTTCAACAAGGCACTTCCGCCTCGTGACCATCAGCGCTTTTGCACTCTGCTAGGTCTTGTGCCCACTGGGCCTCACTTGCTTACCTCTTGACCTTGCTTGTAGTGCTGCATATATATATCCTTGCTCTTGCTTGTTTAGCACTGTTATATATATATGCTCTGCTGCATGTGAACTGGCCTTGTGGCCTTGACCTTGTGCTCGGACTGTGTGGTGACTTTGTGATCCACCCTGAGCTTTACTTTGCTTTGCTTGACTGGTCTTGTGACCCCTTGTTCTCCCCCACTTTGCCTATGGGGGTGTGTCAGATTTATATGACATAGTTGCTGTAGGCTATACTGGGGTAGCACATATGGGGTACAGGTTTCTAGGGTTGTATTTGTACCCAATCTTTCCTTAGTCATTTCATTCCTGTTCTACAACTCTCACACTCGTTTCATCGTGATGGCGTTGACGTGGACCGTTGGAGACTCGGGTGACTGCCAGCGAGGTAATTCGACCCAGTTACCATTACTTCGCACGGTGCAGCTACCCGTCGTCCAGTCGATTCGCGGGTTATACCGTCGCAGCCAATCACGTCCCAATAATATGTCGTGCCCATCCAATGTTGTTGCAAGCATTTCCTGTGTAAATCCGAAGTTCCCCCCGCAGCGGACTTTTACTCGCTCCACCTTTTCCCGTATGGCCAGTGGCGTGCCGTCGACTAATCGCGCGTCTATTTCAGGTAAGCAACGGTTAAGTGTTAACTGCAGTTTTCGTGCGGTCGCGGTATTAACTAAACTGTGGCTTGCTCCTCCGTCAATAAAAATCTTGACTGCTGCTCCCTGTGTTTTCCCATAGATCAGTACCGGGCAATCCGTCGCTATACCCTCCTTATTCATCCGAGCCCGATCGATGGCGTGAATCGGTACTGTAACTCGGTGAGGGTCGGTGTGGTTGGGCGAGCAGGCAGTCTCGTCAGTAGTTGGCCCAACTTCTACTGACTGCTGGCGTTTCCCTGCCTCTGAGACTCCCTCCCCTGCTCTGCTCCGCGGCGCCTCAGCTCCTCTGGGCACTCGCTCTTGCGGTGGCCCAGCCTGTTGCAAGCAAAGCAGCGCCCCTTAAATGGTGCGGCAGCTGCATTCGTCGCAACGGCGTGTACAGTGGCGTGCTCGGTCGGTCCCCGAGGACGATGTCCGTAGTAGGACCCCGGTCTCGGTCGGCGTAGGATGTCGATTTTCTCGGCGAGCGCGAGAATCTCGTTGAAGTTCGAGAGTCCGCGCAGCATTATTTCGTGCGAGATATCCGGCTTCAGCCCTCCGACGTAACGGTCCACCCACTCCACTTCGTGCATGTAGCCGACCTGCTCGCAAAGTGCGAGAAAGCCACTTGTGTAGTCTTGAACCGACCCGAGCTGGCGCCAAGTGCGCAATCTCTGACGCGCCGAAATCGAAGCCGCGATCGGCTCGAAGCGCGCCCGAAGTCCTGCGCACCACGCATCCCACGTGTTGTATTGGGCGGTCTCGCAGAACGAACTCCAGGTGACAGCTGGACCCGTGGGCCCTTCCTCGTGTGACGGTGGCTCGTAGGCACGTGGCGACGTCACGATGACTCGCCACCAGTCCATGGCGGGGCCCCTGAGCAGTGAAACTGCATACCGAATCTTCGCGGCATCCGACTCGACGTAGTTTGCGTCGAAGAAGACGTTCATCGTGAAGACCCACGATTGAACCGTCGGGCCCCCGCGTTGGCTTGGGTCGAAGCAGGGCGGGCGTTGCGGCTTGAGCGGCATTGGTGCCATGATGGTTTGTTCGCCACTTGTCGTCGCAAATTCCACGTGCCGACGGGCTTCCCGGGGCTCCCGCGGGCTTGGTGCGATCCTGCCTCCTCCCATGCCAGGCATCGGCTGGGCGACGCCGTCACTGGCTGCGCCTGAGCGTTGTCCCATGCTGTCGTGTTGTGTTGGTGTGCCGGACGAGATGATGATCGGCTCGTCCGATTGTGCAGATGCATTTGTTGGTGCGTGTGATGTCGCCGGAATGTTCACCGTGGACTGTTGTCGGGCGGAGTCACGTTCCGCCGTGAGCGTCGCGATTTCGAGTGCCGATTCTTCTAGCTGACGCACAAGACGATCAAGCTGTTCCTGCGTCAATGTGGCGAGCGTGAAATCGGCCATGGCGGGGGTGTCGGGCAAGCTCAGCGAGAGCCTCTGTCGTGGCCGTGCGTGCTTACGAGAGAGCACTACGAGCGGCGGTGCTGTGTCGCTGAGAGACGTCTACCCCCCCCAAAAAATTGAGATAGTGGGGAAGCGAAGGTGTGGATGCGGTCCGAGATGAGATCGTAGGCTCTGAATACCAAGTGTTACGAGTGCAATTGAGTGAACGAACGAGAATTGCACTATCGAAGCAAGAGTACAATGAGCGAAGGCATGAGCGAAGAATATATAGCGAAACTACAGTGGTAACGGTAGTGGACTGTGGTTGTCGCGCGACGAGCCTAGGACTGAGGTTGGGAATATGTCGAAGCGTAGGCCCGGAGCGCGGGTTACCCGCCGAGCCGTGAGGTCGGGGTGCGATGTGCGAAAGTGGCGGGATGATTGTTGATGCGATGGTCGCGAGTGGTAACGGTGCTGACTGAGGTGCTACAGTGATGTACGCGATGAGTAGGGATGCGAAGTAAGGAAAAGGGATTTTCCTTACACTAGGCCTTGTTGTTCGTTCAGATGTTGTAATCACTTCCGCATTATTGAGTTCTGCGCACTCTTCTCTTTCACAACTTATAACACTCGGGAAGTCAACTGTGGGCTCGGAAGGCAAACTGCGCACAGTTTGCCTTCCTTTTTTTTGTAATTCAGGTCTTGGGTTTTAAACCGTTAAAAAATCGAACCTACGTAGGTTCGACCCTGTGATCGGCGTTGAGGTGACGCGTCCTCAGACTCCGTCTGCTGTTCATTCTCCCGCCCGATGACATTGCGTGATGACCACCATATTCGTTGCTCGGTTCTCTCATTGTGCGTGATGTGATGGCGTAGTTTGTTGCTGCCAGCCTAAGGGCGTATCCCTGGGTGGTGGCAGGACCACTGTTGATGGCAGGCGGTTTTTGCGGATGCCACGAATACCTATAACGGGAGGTTGGTGGCAGAAAACTGACGCGCATAGGCAACAAGGCGATTGGTTGAACGAACTTATCGCCTGGTTGGGTTGGGTCACACGGTCCAATCACCACAACGCATATCCAAATTTCCCTCGCAAACTGGGCTCGCACACACCACGTTCGAGCTCTCACATGCCGGTAAAATTCCCGGCCCACCAACTGCTGTCATTGGTCGGGACACGAACGTGCATAACCCCTCCCCGAAGGGTCACCCAACTTCATGCCTGCCAATTTACAGGCCTTTCGTGATCGTCAAGTATAGCTGTTGCCGGTGCCAAGTGTCGAAGAACTCAGATTTTAGTAACCGGTTGAACATGTGGAGTGGTATCGCACGCTTCTTTTGATTGGTTGGTTCTTTCCGTGTGCGACTTTCGCACAAGGTGTTGTGGTTGCCACGAACTGCGAGCCGCGGGCGGTTCGGGCACAAAGTTGATGGCATGCGGTTTTCCCGCATGCCACCAACAGTGACTGCTACAGTTGCCCTGCCACCACCCAGGGATACGCCCTAACTCCCTTCACTCTAGTACCCCTGCTCACGACAGCCGTCCGTCATCTGAGGCTGGCCGTTTGCTCGTCTCATCGCGATCTTCTCGTTGCGTTTCCCGCGACGATTTTCAGGCATTAATCGGGATCTGACCGTACGATATGCTGTCTTCTGCGTAGACGCCATCGGCAGACATAGGCCTCAGCACCGACAGTCAGGTCTTTCGGTGCGCTGAAGACGAAAAGCCCCTCGGTTCTAATCCCTTCTGAAACAGCGACAACGGAGATGTATACCTGAGTGCTCTGCCTTTGCCGGATCCGGGGGGATCAAGCTCAGCTACTACTGCAGATTAATCTCGCACTAGACGTACTGTTGATACGAGGTTATTTATAGTCTTTATATCGAGTCTGTTTGTACGTCGACCATGGGGACGCCCGCCTTTCCCGACTTGGGAAAGCACTGCTCGGTGACGTCATGCCAGCAGATTGACTTCCTTCCCTTCACCTGCGACAAGTGTCGCATGGTCTTCTGTCTGTCGCATCGCATGCCGGCATCGCACGAATGCCCGCGTGCGACAGTCGGCGATGCTGTGGTGCTGCTGTGTCCGCTATGCGCCAAGGCCGTGCGACTGGTGGGCGACGAGGACCCGAATGTGACGTGGGCGCGGCATGAACGGTCCGGATGCGATCCCAGCAACCTGCAAAGGTACGATGCGGTGAAATCAGCTTGGTACTTCGGCAACTAGATGCAGGCTGATTGCTTATTCAGCCTTGCCGTAATGTACAGCCTTTCTGAGCTACAGTCTTGCGATGAGCTGCTACAGTCATACTCTAAGGAACATCATTGCCCCTCTTTTCCCCTTTCTCCCACCCCTTCACAGGGTGGCGAACACACGCAGTTGTGTGGCACAGCGCTGTACGCAAGCTCTGTTTCCTCCCAACACCGTCGCAGCCTACCCTTCCTCCTCTCTCTCCTCACCTCCACACCTCCCTTTCCGTCTCCCTGCAGAGTGGCCAACAAGCCGGTGTGCCGCACAGGGCGGCAAGGAGGTACGTTTCTCCATTAACAACGTAACGTCGCACCTCGTTCTTCCTCTTCCCTTTTCTCCTCTCCCCACCTCCTCACCTCCCCCTTCCAGAGTGGCCAACAAGTGCCGGTGTGCTGCACAGGGCTGCAAGGAGGTGCTTTCGCCCGCCAACACAGTCACAACTTCCTTTCTGATTTTCTCACCTCCCCTCCACACCTCCCCCTTTCTGTCTCCCTGCAGAGTGGCCAACAAGTGTCGGTGCGCGGCACAGGGCTGCACGGAGGTGCTCTCCCCAGCCAACACCGTGTCTCTTCTCTTTTCTCCACTCCGCGCCTCCTCACCTCCCCTCTACAGGGTGACCATCAAGCGCCGGTGTGCCTCACCGGGCTGCAAGGAGGTGCTCTCCCCAGCCAACACCGTCACATTTCACCCTTCCTCTTCTCTATTTTCCACTCCTCTTCTCCTCACCTTCCCCTTTCTCCTATCCCCCTCCAGAGTGGCCAACAAGCGCCGGTGTGCGGCGCAGGGCTGCAAGGAGGTGCTCTCGCCCGCCAACACCGTCACCTGCCGCGACTGCTCCCGCCAAACCTGCCTGCGCCACCGCTTCGGCGCCGACCACGCGTGCTCGGGCAGCCAAAAGAACTTGCAGCCCGTTTCGTTCTGGGCAGCTGGTGGGGCGTACAGTGAGAAGCTGATGGCAGGCGTGCAGGGCGCCATGGCAGGGCTGATGGCACCGGCTGGTGGTGCAGCTGGTGCTGGCAGCAGCAGTGGCGTTGGTGGCAGTGGTGCAGGCAAATCAGCTGGTAAAAATACCAGCACCGGGGTCAAGGCGTCGACATCAAGCAACAAGGGTAAATTGAGCAGTGTCGGTGCCAGCAGCAATACTAGCAGCAGCAGCAACAAAGGCAGCAGTGGCAGTGGTGCAGCAGCAAATGACCTCAATACAGTGCGAGGGACAGCGGCAAGGCGTCAAAATCAGGGCGCAGGACAAGCGGGGTCAGCTGCAGGCTCACAATCTAGAGTGGGATCAGCAGAGCCACAGCAACCAGGTGCAGGGGCAGCCAGGGCTGGGGGAGGGGATGATGGCGGGGGGCCAGAGGTTTGCCCTCAGTGTGGAGCGAGGTTTGGGGATGCTGTGGCATTAATTAACCATGTGGAGACTGCACATGCGCATGGGGGGACAGGTGTCAGCGTGCAGTTTGGCAGTAATGCTGGGCCTGGTAGTTCAGTGGCAGGGGGGAGCAGAAGCGGTGCAGGTCGGGCGGGTGGTGGCCAAGGGCCTGAGCAATGCCCAAGATGCGGGAAACGTTTTCCCGACCCTGTGGCTTTGGTTCGGCATGTTGAGAAAGATCATGAAGGTGCTGTGGGGACTGATAAGTGCACAATAAGCTGAGCTCAGAAGGCTTGGACATTACTGAACTGTATTGTCCCATGTAACACTATTTTGTGGTTGTGACCGTTTAGAAGTGGTGGAAGAACACTCCAGATTCTTCTTGTCGAAAGCTTGTAGGTTGCAGCGAACCAACTCGTATATCACTGAACCGCGCGCGCTGCAGGTGGTCCCTCGGTGCGAATTGTTTCTGTATCCTGCCCATTCAATTATCACGATGTTTGACTTTGCCTGGGGTCACATCGATGTGACGGTACGATTCTAATGTTTTTCGTGTACGAATTTAGGGCTGTTTGATTGGCTCGGAGCGGCCTCTGCAACAATAACTCACCTCAGCATTACCATTACTGACAGGAAATCTGCCCGGGTGAAAACGGAAATGCCCAGCCATCGTGTCTGTTCGCCGCATGTCTCCGTCACAGACGCGAGCCGACTGAGTGAACTCCAAACCAACCCAGGGTCTTCCTCGCCGGACTAGCCGAAACCAGACCGAACCAGCAAATCCACGCCTGAACCAACTAAATATGGGCCGAGCCAGCCTCATCCACACCCAACCACCACTAGTCCCGCTCCCCCACTTCAACTCGCGAAGAGCCAGCCAAGCCTGCTCGAGTTTCCCAAAGCCTTGATGCTGGTTTTCCGTCACACGGGTTGGTTGAATGGTTCTCGCTGCTTGTTCGCTCTCACTGCCTCAGGCATAAAGCTGTGAGGGTTCCACTCCAGCCAGCCAGACCCAGTCAACCAGACGTGGCAGATGAATCCGTGTTGCTTTCCTGCCTTACCGCTTGCAAGCTGACCGCTGGCGTCTAGGTTCCAGAGCTTGCCGAGGTAGGTTACTAAAGAGTGTCGATATCTTACAGTTTCTATAAGTCGCTTCGTCCAGGATAAGACATGGTAGAGCCCTGGCGTATTAGGGTTAGGTCGTGTCGCAGCTTGTGACCTAAATCCGACACGCAGTCGTTGACCGAGCTTGGAAGTCGATCCGAGGGTTCCCCGTCCCCCACGTTCGTTGTTGCAACGTTTCTCGTCATAAGCTCCGTGAGTCGCGCTAATAGACGATGCTGGGAAACGTTAGAGTCCGGCACGTGGCGTGCGCGCTAGCGTGTCTCGCCGTCGCACTCTTAATCGCCGGTTGTTATCTCTCACACGAGTATGTCGGCTCGTTGTTGCCGCGAGTCAGCGTGTCCATCGACTTCTCCGTGCTAGCGGCGCTGCTTATCGGCGCGACAGGCTCGCTAACCATCAACTTTCTCATCCAACGAAACTTCGCTCTCGTACCCATCTCCGCCGCTCCTCCCGCTGCCGCCGCTGCTGCCGGCGCAGCTGCGGGAGGGGTAGCGGGAGAAGCCGGAGCGGGCGGGGAAGCGGGAGCGGCGGGCGGAGAGGTGGGGAATCCAGGCCCTGGGCTGATGGCGTTCGACATTCCCGACAACGCCTGCTACTTCTGCGTCCGCCGCCCCGCCACCTCCAAATGCGGCAGCTGCAGGTCAGCTGGGGTAGGGAGCGGTACAGCAGGGTCCAGAGGCGTGTTAGGCTGCCGCAGATGGTAAAGGCGTCTTGGGCTGCTGCGGTCAGCCGGGATGGGGGTTGGTCCAGGCCCTAGTTTCCGGGATGGAAAGCGGTCCAGTAGTGCTTCAGAGGCGTGTTATGCTTCTGGATGTGGTAAAGGCGTGTTGGACTGCTGCAGGTCGTGGGGGGGGGGGGGGGGGGGGTGTGGTCCAGTAGGGCCTTAAGGCCGTGTTACGTCTGCAAAAGCGAATGGCGTGGTAGGCTGCTGGAGGTATTAAGAGCATGCTAAGCTGCTGCAGGCGCTAACAAGAGGTGTGGGTATTTGAAGCCGTACCTGCTTTTCTCCTAATTTCGTACCGCCCGCCATTCCCCATCCCTCACGCCCCCTTTTCCTCCTCCGCTTCACCCCCCTTCCCCTCTCCTCCCCGCCACCCTCCTCCCTCCCCTTTCCCCCGCCCATTCCCGCTCTCTTCTTCCTCCTTCCTACCCCAGACTGGTGTATTACTGCTGCCGGCTGTGCCAGATGCAGGCGTGGCGGAAGCATCGGCACGTGTGTGGCGCCGCGGCGGCGGCAGCGGCGCGCATCCAGCGCACGCGCGCGCTGCTCACCCCCTCGCAGTGGCGCGCGCTGGGCGAGTTCGGGGACGCCGTGCGCGCACTCATCCCCGCGCACCTGCTCGTCCCCACGCAACCTGACCTCGTCGCGAGCGCGCTGCTGAAAATCGCCGCGTACGTGCGCCAACGCCCGCACCTGGTGAATCAACCCATGGCGGACGCGGTGTGGGCGGCGGCGCTGAGCATGCGCGGGGAGGGCGCAAGCCCGCGCCTGTACATGGCGTGGGCGTGGGGGTTTCTCGAAGCCGCGGTTGAGTCCGGTTCCGTGGACGCGTTTCTGGCGGCGCTGCGGATTGACCCGGCGGTCGGGGGCGCGGCGGACCTTCCGCGCGTGAACCGGTGGATGAAGCGCGGGCTGTGCCAGGCGCTGCTGATGCTGAACAAGCGGCAGGAGGTGGGCGCGTTCTTCCGCCACGCGCCCCGCCAACAACTCCTCTACTTTTAAACGCGATGAACGGGAGAAAGGGGTGGGGAGGGGTTGGGTGTGTTGGAAGAGGGTGCAAGAGGAGAGACGGGAGCGTTCTTTCGCCACGCGCCCCGCCAGCAGCTCCTCTAGTTCTAAACCAGATGAACGGGGAAGTGGGGGGAGGGGGGACGCGTGGGGGGACATGGGGGGGTTTTGTGGAGGAGACAGGGGGGGTTGGTTAAGGAGAGTGGCAACAAACTCCTTTGCTTCTAGACACAATGAGAAGGATGGTGGAGGGGAGTGGCATGCATCAATGGCATCTGCTTTCCTTCCGCCAAGTGTGCAGGCAGTATCTGCTAACCTTCTAAAAAGACAGGAGAGGGGACGGGCTCATTTGTAGAAACAAACGGGCTTTGAGAAGAGGAGAGAGCAGCTGCTCCAATTGCTATAAAACGGGGGCAGGAGGGAGAGAGCAGCTGCATCGAATGTAAAAAAAAAGGGAGGAGCGGATGGATTGACGGCAGGTGTTGCAGCAGGTGCTCTTGCAGGTATTGCAAAGCAATGCGTCTAGCACGGTATCATGACCAGGATAGATGGCAATGGCTTGGACCAGCTCAATTGCTCCAGTGGCGCTGGAGAGAAGATGGGAGCTGCAGTGCATCACATCACGTCGCAGTTGGGAGGGGAAGAGACAAGAGACACACGGCCCCGTTGCTTGCTCAACCCCCCTCTTCTATCCGACAGCAGCTGCTGCTGCTCTATGTCTTATTGGGGGTTGCGCGGACGGGTGGCATGTGCAGTGATTGCAATTTTCAAGAGATGGATGAATGACTCTTGGGTTTTGTCTGAAATTGGCCGCTCCACTAACGTGGATCCCTTCTCTTCATACCTGAGTTTTTTTCCCCTCAGACAGCAGCTGCTTTAGTGCTAATGTGAAAGCCAGTGGCTGCCTTATTTGTTTTGTTTGAAGAAACTTTCCTGGTACACATGGGTTTGTTTGTTGTGAGGAGATGGATCATTGACAGCTTTTGAGGCGCCTCAAAAGATCACACAACTGATCATTCAAGGCAGGAGATGCAGGAGATAAGACAACTCTGTTCTGTTGCCACAAGAAACAGTTCTTGACAGATCACCTGCCCACAGATACGGTAGTGGGGGGACGCCGTGTTAGGAAAGGGGAGGGGACCCAGGGAGCCTCCTGATCATACCATACTTTTTTTTTACTCCACGGCATTGTTATGTTCATGTGCACTACACTATCAACACGTCTATCGGGTTGGGTGTGCTTGCTGTGCTTGCACACAGATGGTGTCGTGAAGTAGCTCCTCTCCTTCTGCTCTTCTGACTGTTCTTCTCTTCCTCCTTCTCAGATTCCCTGTTTCTTCCTGACGGATACTTCCACCTCCTCTCTCACCCTCATCCTCTCATGCCTGCTTGTCTGTCCCGGTACCGCCTGTCTGCCTCTTCTTTCTCCTGGTGTATGTGATGATGCCGCTCCTGCCTTCTCCTTGCTTCTCAGGCTGCATTTGCAACAAGACTGAATACTCTCCCTCGCAAGGGCTCCGTCAGTTTGCCTGAGCTTCTCTTTAACTGCTTGCCTCCGTGGTTGGGAAAACGAATTGCAGTATTACGAGAAACAAACAAGCAAAAAGCACAGAGCAGGTATCCTCCCCTGCCTAAGTCCCAACCATCCTTCTGCCTAGGTTGCTTGTCCCACAAGCTAACTCTAGTTGCCAAGTCGCATAGCAGCAGTGCTGCACGCGATAGCTTCTAGGTGCTAGCTGGGTCCCAGTGGCCCACTAGGCATGCACCGACTTCCAGCTGGAATTGCATTCTCTGACTCGAATTCCCAGCCTGGAATCGAATTCCCAGCCTGGAATCGAATTCCCAGCCTGGAATCGAATTCCCAGCCTGGAATCGAATTCAACCCTGTCCCCACCAAATTCCTTGAGCTTCTCCCCCCTGCTCGGCTCCATATATGTACAGTACATTCCAAGCACACAAACGAAAGTATGAGTACAAGAAACAAACAGCAATATAGTACAACCTCACCTTAAGCTGCTGTGCAATTCACACTTAGCCGCAGGCTATGTGTTAATAGCGCGACAGCTGTCGTGAAGTAGCTCCTCTCCGTCTGCTCTTCTGACTGTTCTTCTCTTCCTCCTTCTCAGATTCCCTGTTTCTTCCTGACGGATACTTCCACCTCCTCTCTCACCCTCATCCTCTCATGCCTGCTTGTCTGTCCCGGTACCGCCTGTCTGCCTCTTCTTTCTCCTGGTGTATGTGATGATGCCGCTCCTGCCTTCTCCTTGCTTCTCAGGCTGCATTGCCCCCTCCCGAGCCTGAGTTCCAGCACAGGCAACTCTGGCTTCGGGACCCACAGCCTGACCCTTCCCTTTTCCAGCCGCGGCCACATTGGTAACGTGCTCCTTGATGCTCCTGCCTCGCTCATCCTCTAGCACCAGCAC